GTGGACGACCACTACAGCCTGCAGAGCGGTGGCTGCAGCGATGGCAGCTACGGGCCCCCCTGCCGGCGGCCCGGCCGCCCTGGCCTCTCGTAGGTCCTGTACCCTTGGCCCTCGGCCCGCCTGCCTGCCCAGCCAAGCGTTTCAGCCCGCCAGTCCTACCTGTGACCGATGTCAGTCTTCTCCATGGCCCACTGCTGTGACATTCTGAAAGCCCCAGCTGCCGCCTGGGCTGCCGCCCGCCCGCCCACCCATCCGCCCAACAGCCAGCCAGGGCCCACTGAGCCGCCCACCCATCCCAACTGGGCAGGGCCCCCTGCAGGGAGGCAGGGCCCCGCTCCCCCATCCCGGGGAGCCCAGCATAGCCGCCCACGGTCTGTTCTCAGAATCCTAATCATTCCAGAAGTATTAAATGTCATTGCTGCAAACCTCGGCAGGCGCCGTGTGAGGGGTTTAATGACCACCCCAACCCCGGAACCCAGGCCAGAGGAGTGGCCCAAGCGAGACAGGAATGGAGGAAGGAGCGGCTCGCCGTTCGTCTGTCCATCCACCTGTCTGTTGGTCCACATAGGCACCTGAGGCGTGGACAGAGGGGACCGTGAAGGGCGGGACTCGGGTGAGCACCCTGGGGCAGGAGGGGGGAGAAGGGCTTTCTCGTCCCACATCTGTAGGTCTTAGGAGCTGAGCTGGGTTGGGCTTCACCTCTTATCAAAGCCCAGTAGCTTCTACTCTGTCAGGAGCAGCCAAGGACACTGCACTGTCAGACGTACCCACACACACTCCTAGGCAGACACGCAGACACACGTGGACAAGTAGACACCCTCCCGGCGGGCACGTGTCTAGCCTTCAGGGATCACATGGGCCAGTGCTGGCCCCCCAGCCTGTGTCAGACTCTCACTCCCACTCTCACCTCACCAGACAGCCCTGCTTGTCCAAAACAAGGCTCGTGGGTGAGCTGTAGCTGGGCAGGTGGTAGCCATCAGGTCCTGTGGGGTTGTGGGGTGGGGGCTTTCTTAGCTCCCTCCAGAGAAGTGAGAAAGAAAAGGCTATTATGCCTTACAGCAGTCCCCCTGGAGGATGTGGGGGGACTGGAAGTCTTGCCTATGGTGGCCTCCCCCAAGATAGACTCCCTCTTCTCACCCTACTTCCCCCCCACTGCCAAAAAAAAAAAAAAATGGAAAAAGTTTTGAAAAGAGGAAAACAAAGCTCTGGAGACCCTGGGCTTGGGTCTTTGGTGTGTAGTACCTATTTTTCCTGTGCAGGATTTTTGTACTCTATTTTCCTAAACATTGTCACCCGCTGTTTGCAGGAGGGTGGGGGGTGGGAGCGACCCCGTGTCTCAGGGACTCGCGTCGGCTGTCACCGTCGTCCTAGTGTGCCTTGTCCCATGTGCCGCCCTGCCCTCACCACCAGCATGTCCTCCCCAACCCCCTCTGGGCCGAAGCTGAGAAGGGGGCAAGGGAAGCAGGGCGTCCTCCCATGGCGGCCCCTCCCAGCTGGCCTTTCTTTGGGCCACACCAGGCAGGGCCTAGTTTTGGAGAGTGTGACTGCTTCCACTGGCCTGGAAGGAGGGGCTGTCACCAGCCCCCCGCCCCTGGTTTCGCCCTCCTTTGTACCTAGGAGGAAGACCTGGGTGGGAGCTTGCGCACATCATTTCTCAGCACTTGTCTCCGCCTCACCCCCCTCCCCTGACCTGGAGCCCAGCTCCGGGTTTCAGGCATTGGCAGCTGTTGAAGACAGCCATTCCCTGGGTCATGTGGTACTGGGCATCCGGTGTGTGTGTGTGGGGTCCCACTGGCCTCCCCCCAAGTCTGTGTCCCTGGTGGCACACAGCACCTTCTGCCACCTCTGATGCTTAGTGACCCATTTCCGAATCTTGGGACAACGTGAGTGTTTATTTTTGGTCACAGTGACTGATCCTCCTCAGGGTGGTAAGCCTCCTAAGGTAGGAAGAGGTCCCTGGAACCAGCTCTGGCACTGGACCTGCCCTCGAGAGTCTGAACGTGGTGGGCAGAAGCAGGATGTTGCTCCCTAGAAGGGCCCTGTCTTGTTGGGAGCATGCCCACAGTTCCCGCTGGGGAGAGCTGCCTGTGCATCTCCTCTCAGCAGCCATTGGGGAGGTGGTGGCTCACACAGGATCTACCCCTGTCGGTCAGCTTGAGCATGGCCACAGAGCCGCTGTATTTACAGCCTGCCCAGGCAAGAACTCCGGGATGCCTGGGCTGCTCCTGTTTTGAATTCGTAAAACATCTTTCCTCCCTCCCACAATACCTGGGAAGGATCTTTTCCCACCTCTGGCCCGCAGATTCTGAGCCCTCAGCAGGCCATTTCGACAATATGGCCAGGGGGCTTTTCTGGCTTTGGTCCCCATCTGGGCTGGGAAGTAGGTGTTGTCAAGCAGCAGGGGCAGGGGGCTACTGTCCCCTGTCCCCACTCCCCTCCAGCAGAACTGGGAATGGCTCTGGCCTTCCCCCTCCGTGTTCAGAACCGAGGTCGAGGTATGGCGCAAAGCAATCTGGTGCTAGGAGTCACTCCAGCATCCATCCCTCCTGGCCCCCTGCCATTTGCACAGTTTGGCCGAGGCTGGTGGCCACATGGGATCATGGAATGGTTGTGAGCATTCCCAAGTGTTGAGATGTCTAGGACAGGTCACCGAGGTGGGGGGTATATGTGCCTTCATGCATGTGAGTGTCCCCGAGGGACTCAGTGGTGAAGATTCTGGAACCCAGGTTTAGATTTGGGTCTGAGCTCTCCCACCCTTGCTGGGAGGCAGGACCCACAGGTCAGGCCACCACTGTCCTGGCATAGGTGCCCTGCAGGCTGAGGGGAAGGACCTGCAGGAGGGCATTCCAATGCACTCGGTCCACCTCTGCAGACCTGGCCTGCCCGTCTCTGGAAGCCTGGGCCCCAGCTTGCTTCCCTAGACAGTGGGACCTGTAGGCTAACCCGTGGACCTGGGGACCCCCACCCTGTCTACTTCCAGATGATCATGGTCCACCTGGGTCCTCCCCACCACCCTACCCAGAGAACTATGGCTCCGGGCCAGCAGGAGCAGCTGCCCAGCAGACCACATCCAGGGCACAAGGGCAGGGCTATGCCGGGGGCTTGGTGCTGGGGAGGTGGGCTGTGCCATCAGATCCTCGCTGGAGAGTGATACGGGGCCCCCCTCTCTGCCCACCGGGTGGGACTGTACTGTATCGTTCTGTCATTGTAATATAAATACAGATTTTTATACCTCACATGTCTGACTGGCTTTCGGTTCTTTCCATCACCTTGCTGTCCACTACACCTGGGCCTCTGACCAGGGAGCTGCCGTCCTCCATGAGCTCTGCTTTAGGGGAGCCCTGGCAGACCACGATCTTGCCCCACCTGCTGCCCTAACACTGAGTGGCATCAAATGCAGGTGGAGATGGAAGAGCCCCCTCCGATCCGTGTGTCAACCAGGGACTTTGCCACTAGACCCAGACTGGCTATTGCTTCTTGAAGATACCTTGCCCCAGCCGGCTGTGTGTAGCAGAAAGCCTCGGCACTGTGCCCATCCTGCTGGTTCTCAGGGATGCATGCTGGGAAGCCCCTCCTACCTGTCCCAGTGTCCCCAGCAGTCCCTCATCTCCTGTCCCCAGACCTGTTGGGGGTGGCCAGGCCAGCCTGGGGGAAGGAAGGGGAATCCAGGAGGGAGGCTGGTGGTTAGGGCTCAGCCAGAGTCCGAGGACCAGAGTCCCTGAGTCCCCTGCCTGGCCATCCTGGGCACCTCTAAGAATCAGTGACACCAGAGATGCTCTCATGTGAACATTTTGGGGTGACCAGAGGAGCCCGCTGCCTGTCAGAGGGGACCTACTGAGGGAGCAGGGAATCTGATCCTGGGGACTGAGAGTAGGGATATTGTGGGCTCAGCCACCCTGGGTACTGAGAGAAAGGGGTCCACTTGGGGGCTCCCCACCCCAGCCCTGCCATGAGTGATGGGGAACTAGCTGAAGCAGGCAAATCAATCGGGGCTTACTGTGAGCGTGGTTGGTCACCCTGGAGAACCCTGTGAAGGGGGCCCGCTGAGAGGCTACAACTTACAGTCTGGAGGAATCTGAGCACCTCTCTGCCCCCAGCAGGCAGCATCAGGATGAGGGTCAGAAGGAACCAAGTCCCCAACCCACTACCACCACCAGCTCACACACACACAGTGGGACACCTCTAGGAAGGAAGAGAATTCAGTTGGGAGTGCAGGTGGGGCATCAGAACCACCTGAATTCATGTTCAATGTAGTATGTTTACGTTAGAATTTAGAATGATCACCTCTGCCATTTTTTATGGAGGGGTGTGGTCACAAGTAGCTGCCAAGCTGGTCCCATTGCAGGTTTTTAATGGCTGTGACCTTTTGGAATCAGATTGCCCAGGTGCCTTTGAATAGGTTCATACTGTCAGCTTTTCAGTTAGTTGTCCAGTACTTAACAGTTTGTGGCCCCCAGGAGAGCCTCCTCTACGGCCTATTCCTCCCTCCTATGCTCTGCCCCTGTGCTCCTCCTCTTCCCATACTCCACCAGCCCTGTTGGTTCCGCTTTTCTCTTGCCCTTCGTGGCCTGCCCTCCTGGCCATCTTGGTGAGCTCTATATTCTTCATGTTGGTGTTAACCCACACCAGTTCCAAAGTCTTAAGACTGTGACTTCAAGTTGTCCCTGGAGATCACCTTTGTCATTAATGTTACCATGATGGAAAACAAACTCACCCTTCCCTGCGCCTTCTTCACCCCTGTGGCTGACTGGGGTCCTCTGCTTTCTCCTCCTCTTCCTCCATCTTGGTTTTCTACTTGTTCTCCATCTTCTCTTTCATATTTTACTGTGTTTTCCAGTGAACATTTCCAC